AACCCTAACCCTAACCCTAACCCTAACCCTAACCCTAACAACAACCCTAACCCTAACCCTAACCCTAACCCTAACCCTAACCCTAACCCCTAACCCTAACCCTAACCCTAACCCCTAACCCTAACCCCTAACCCTAACCCCTAACCCTAACCCCAACCCCTAACCCTAACCCCTAACCCTAACCCTAACCCCTAACCCTAACCCCTAACCCTAACCCTAACCCTAACCCCTAACCCTAACCCTAACCCTAACCCTAAACCCCAACCCCAACCCTAACCCCCTAACCCCTAATCCTAACCTCTAACCATTTATTTGTATTTTAGTCGTTTTACCATTCGTGTGGCTACTTTAAAACAATTTTGTGAAGAAGCGAATGTTCAATACAAAATTTTTTTAGGATATTCAAAAGTTAGATGGCTTGCTCTAACACCTGCTATAAAGTGTGTTCTACAATTATTTGAGCCTCTCCGTTCATATTTTTTAAGTTTAGACAAATGCTCTAAAATCCTGGAACCGTATTTCAATAATGAAATATCTGAGATATTAATGTATTTTGTACATAATCAAGCTTCTATTTTTCAAAAAACGATTCAAAAGATTGAAGGTGAACACATTTCAGCTACAGGAGTCAGTCTTATTTTGAATGACTTTATCCTTCAATATAAAACTCGATTTGAAGAAAAATTTCTTCCTTTAGTTATAAAAAGAAAATGGTCAGACTTAGAGGAATCAAATGCAGGCATAACGGAAAAGTTTATCAAAGAAGTGCAGAATTTTTGCCAAACATGTTTTCAATATATCGAGGAATGGTCTGAAACAAACATCACAGGAAATAACAGTTTTCAATGGTGTTTTTTGACTTCATCGCAAGTACGGTATATTGGACAGATATTGAATCTTGTGTTGAGTTTTTAGCTAAAGAAATGCCAGACATTAAAATAGACAATTGTCTCTTTGAAGAAATTAGAAGACTGAATGTATTTTTAAATTCTGAAAAATTAATACAATGGGAAAATAAACACGTTGAAATTGATAAAAGATGGGTGGAAATATTCAGCCATTTCAAAAATGAACATATTCCATGTGAAAATTTATTTATTCTTGTTCAATTTACGTTGTGCTGTCCTGGAACTAATGCAGCAGTTGAAAGGGTTTTTTCAATTGCTAATGATTTTTTGAAAAGTGAGAAATCGAGATTGAATGTTGATACTCTAGCTACAGCACTTGTCGTAAAATTCAATATGAAGGATATTTCTTGTTCAGATATTTCCAATATATTGTTAGAAGATGATACATTGACAAAAAATATTAATTGAATGGTAAAGTACTCATTTAAATAATAGGCATGTAAGCATAATTACAATATAAAATATTATTCTTACAAATATTTTTTATTATGCATTTATCATATTATAATGTATTCTGTATTATTGTTGCAACGAATAAAATGTTTCTTTTATTTACGATATTTTTTTCTTCAATTTATTTGTGTCCTCCTTTTCATTGTAAAAAAGTTGGTCACCTTATTGTTTTCTCCTGGAAGTTTTGGCTTGTGATTGTCTGTTTCAACTAGGCAACGAATCCCAGAAGCCGGGGAAGGCAGGGGAGAAGCGAGAGGGCAGCGAAGGGCTTCTGGACAGCCGCCCAGCGAAGAACCCGCCAGAAACGAAACGCGAAGATATTTTTGTGTTCCCGCCTATTTTTGCAAAAGGGCTCTTTGCGCAGGCGCGTGTGGGCCGGGCTGCTCTCCCGGGCGGAACCTTCAGTTGCGTCCGTGGGTTCCCCCCGGAGGGCGGAAGTCCGGTCCGCGCAGGCCAGGTAAGGAGCCTCGGGGCTGCGGCGGGAGGGGCTTCTCGCTGCCTGTCGTGGGGGAGGGGCGCGGGTGGGCCGTCGGATGCGCCTGAGAGCGGCCGCCTGCTTGGGGACCCGGGTGGGGGAGAAGGGGCGGGTTTGCCGGCGTCGCTCCCTGTTCCGTGGCTGCCCCCGAAGCCACGAGCAGGCCTTCCGGGCCCCCCCCCCGAGCCTCTTCTGCGCGTGACCGGGTCGCGTGGGGGCCTCCGGGCAGCCTGTCTGCCCATCCACGGATTCCCCCCCCCTCCCTCCCGGGGCATCGGAGGCTCGTCCCCGCCGCCGCCGCAGCAGTTGGCGGAGGGGCCGCCTGAGTCCCCGCGGCCCCCAAATTCGGGGTTTGGTTTCAGTCCGGTGAAAGCGGCGGCCTGGCGGCCGGGACCCCCCCTGCCCCCTCCCCGTCCTGCGGCAGCCCTGGGTCGGGGTGCCGAGCTCGCCTCCCTTCCGATGGGCGCCCGCGTCTTCTAGTGCGGCTGCTCGCTTCGTGGGCTGCACGGGGCGCCCGGAGGCACGGAAGGAAACGTCCCAGCCCCGCGCGGAGGGCCCGGGGGCGCCCGTGGGTGAAAGAGGCGATCCGGTCGGCATTGCGGCCCCTGCGCGGCTCCTGCCCCCCCCCCCCGTCCCCGTCCCCCTTTCCGACTGTGTCTCTCTTGCCCAGCGAGCGCAGAAACTGACCTGGTTGCCTTGAGGCTGAAGGGGGTGTGTGTGTGAGGCAACCTCGGCTCTTTTATGACTGGTGGAATTCAACTCCCAGAATTCCCGAGTCAGCCATGCTGAGGGGAAAGAGAGAGGTTTCCATGCTTAGCCATGCTGGCTGAGGAATTCTGGGAGTTGAAGTCCAGGAGTCATAAAAGAGCGGAGGTTGCCTACCCCTGGCCTAGGCATTGAATCCCCTTGAGCTTGTTTATTTCTGTAGCTCTGCCCTGTTAGAAACTGGCCCCAGTCCAGAAGCCTTGCACAACCGCCGCCTGCTGCTGAGTTTGCTTGACTCCTGTCCAGGGAAAGGACAGGGAGCTTATAATTCGAGGTCTTTTTCTCCTTCGTTGCTTGTACTTTTAAAAATGCTGCTCTGCTGAGAATGATTAAAGTGGTTTATTTTTAATTTCTTTTGAAGAGGAGGGTAGTCACCAGCCTGCGTTTCTCCCTTGGGCCCTAAAAATTGTATCTTTTTTTCACTCTAAGACTGTGCTGGGTTGCCCATGTGGGACTAGCTTCAGTGAAGTCATGCCCTTCTTGAGACTTCTGAGTCTGGATTGCCCAGACTCAGGATGCCTTTGGGCTGAGTCCCTGGGCCAAGCGTGGGCTCCTTCCGTCCATGTGGACAGGGGCTTCCTTGGTACTTGTGAAGAAGCTGGTCTCAGTGATCTCACCAATGGAATGGCTCGCCTCCAGTGATTGTGGGTGCTCCATCACTGGTGGTTTTCAAGAAGAGATTGTACAACCATTTGTCTCAAATAGTTTAGGACCTCCTGCTTGAGCAGGGGTTGGACTAGAAGATCTCCAAGGTCCCTTCCAATTCCGTTATCTGTTCTGTTATCTGATCAAGTGCTGCAACTCACAATAATTTGCAGGTTGGTTCTAATCTTTGCTGAGCAAGATATGCTCAGTCCCTGAGAAATCAGGGCAGGATGAGGCCTTCTTTTCTCTTTGTTCTGATGCTGCAGGCAGCTGTTATGCTGAGACTTCGGCTTTTGACCTGGGATGTCACGAACACCCTGCTTCGGCTCCGGGTCCCCGTGGGGCAGAGTTATTCCGCCGAGGCCCAGGCCTTTGGCCTCCAGGTCCCTGCTGAGGTGCTCAACCACTCCTTTTCCCAAGCTCATACATCCCAGAGCCAGCGTTTCCCCAACTATGGCTGGGGCCAGGGCCTCAGCTCCAAGCAGTGGTGGCTTGGGGTTGTCTTCGAGACCTTCCAGCTTGCCGGAATTCATGACAGTGGTGTTCTCTGGCCCATTGCTGAAAAACTCTACCGGGATTATAGCAGCCCAAAGAACTGGGAACTAATCCCAGGTGCCATTGAGATACTCCAGTGGTGCCAGCAACTGGGTATCCGCATGGCAGTGGTCTCCAACTCTGACTGGAGGGTACAAGAGATTCTGAGCCGGTGCAACCTCCGACAATATTTTCAGTTTGTCTTAACCTCGGAAGAAGTGGGGTTTGCCAAGCCAGACCGGAGGATTTTTCTGGAAGCCCTCCACAGTGCCAAGGTGGAGCCCCAGCTGGCTGCTCACGTAGGGGACCATTATGTGAATGACTATTTGGCTGCGAGGAAGACTGGACTGCACAGCTTCCTGTTTAAAATGGCTGGGGAGCCAATTGAGAGCGACATGGAGGTACCAGAAAACCATCTTCTGTCTTCACTTTTAGATCTGCAGGCTCGGATAGAGAAAGGCTAAAAGTGGCTGGATTTCAGCAGCTGTTTCTAGGAGAGGAAATTTTAACAAATCTTAACATTAACTGCTCTTGAGAAGGCCAGATCCTGAAGTGGAAACTCAAGGACTTTGGCCACCGAATGAGAAGGAAGGACTCCCTGGAGAAGAGCCTGATGCTGGGAAAGATGGAGGGCAAGAGAAGAAGGGGACGACAGAGAAGGAGGGGGCTGGATGGAGTCCCTGAAGCAGCAGGCGTGAGCTTCCATGGACTCCAGAAGATGGCAGAGGACAGGAAGGCCTGGAGGAATGTTGTCCATGGGGGGTCGCGATGGGTCAGACACGACTTTGCAACTAACAATAACAACATTAACCCAAAATAAATCCAATAAAACTTATATCCCTGCTTATAAGAGTCTGCAGTATCCCTGTCCCAGGTTTCTTGTATTTAGAACAACAGAGTTGGTATTACAGGCTGGTGCAAAAATTTCTTTGGAGAACTGAGGGGATTCTAACATGCACACACATGCTGCCGCTCAATTTCTGCCAATAAGAAAAGAAAATGTAACAGGCATAGTGGTTTGGGGAAAAAATTATTACTTTGGAATATTACAGAACAGTTTGTCTATTCCAGGCAAATTTACAGGCTAAATATGCAGTTGTGATTGATTCGTGAAAGATTCCTTGATGTTCCCTCTTCCTTTGAAAGGAAAAAGGAAGTCCAGTTGCCTTTTGAAAAAGCACTTTTGGACAACCATGACCTGGATGGCTGAGAATCTCCATAGACTTTACATGGAATCTTTCTCTCCTGGCTCTTTTCCAAGCAACCCAGCATCATGTTCTCCATTGCTAGTGATACAGGAAGGGAGGCCACCTTTTTTTGGTAAGCAGTCCTTCTGAGCCACACTCTGGGTTGCGGATACAAAGTTGAATTCTAATGCCAGATGGTTAAACCGTATGTCCTTCCCTCACCTTCCCAGTGTTGGTCTCACACCAGAGAAATGTTTTATCAGCCACATCCAGGACTGGGTTGATGGGGGCAGCAAAGGTTTCCTAGTGCACATGGGGAACGGCATAGGACTCAAGCTGATAAAACACAAATGAAGCTCACCTTCATCCAGGTCAACCAGTACCCCAAATTCTTCATGGTCAGATGCTGATGGTTGTGTGAGAATTTCACGATCATAGCATGACAAGATCCAGGAGGACAGATTGTAACCAAGAGGGCTACAGGGCCAGCCCCCTTAACGCTGCAGTGAGTCTAGGAAACACCTAATCTGTATGTTCAGATATTACGTTGACTCCAGGATCCCTGCACAGAAGGATTCCTCAGCCAGGGTGTTGGGCCGGTGATCAGAGTGAGCAGGGTCATCTGGGTCTGCCCTCCAGGGCATCTTGGGGCTGAAAATCAACGTTCTCCTGTCGATGGAAAGGGCCAAGAAGGAACCAACTGTTTTCTCAGCAATGTGAATGCCATCTGTACTGCTGGGAGCAGCAAATTGGCCAGTGGGAAAATTCCAGGCAGAGTCAGGGAGGTGACGCTTTACAAAGATGACTAGGAGTCTGGAGGTTAAATTGTGTGATGAGCAGCCAAGGGAACCCAGGTATGGAACTAGGTATGCTTAGCCTAACAAAGAGAAGGCTTAGGAGAGACATAATAGCCATCCTCCAATACTTAAAAAAAGCTGTCACAGGGAAGAGGGAGTGGACTTATTCTCCATAGCACCTGAACAAGAAGCAATGGATAGAAACTCATTGGGGAAATCTGACAGAACGGTTTATCAGTGGAACAGCTTACCTCCCAGAGTTGTGGGTGCTCCATTGCTGGAGGTTTTCAATAAAAGATTGGACAACCATTTGTCCAGGATAGTATGAGATTCTTACTTTGGGCAGGGAACTTGACTGGAAGACCTTCAGGGTCCCTTCAAGCCCTAAGGTTCTCTGATTTAAACCCAGGTTGTGCAAGATCAAGTCATCAGCCATGAGCTTGATCAAGGCATTGAGTAACCTGGCAACTCCATCCCCCAAGCTCTGCTCTCCCTTGCACAGCCAGGAGCTGGGTGTAAATGATCTGTGCGTTGACCCCGGGGCTGCACCTGGGGAGCGAGCACCTCACTTGCAAGTCTACCCATTAAGTAGCACCCAGTATAGCGAAGAAGAACATCCACTTGGGCCAAAAGATGATTGAGCCACACACAGATTGTTTCCCACTGAGAAATTCCACTTCAGTCTAAAATTGAAAGGGCGAGTGGATCTGGGGCCAGACTCCAACTGATTCTCACAGAGTTACAGGTCAGCCTTAGAAGCTGAGTGTGGATGGAGTTACTGCCACTCGTTGCTCCACTCACCTGAAGTGCAGCCAAGAACAACTGAAGTCCAGTGCCATCCTGCTGGTGGACTCTAACTCCTTTGTTTTGCTTTGTGGGGCTGCAGGGTCCCCTTATTTTCCTCAGTTTGCACAATTCAAAATCGGGGAGCACTGAGTTTTGAGGGCACAGCCTGGTACCCTCTTTTCTGCCCTGGGGCTGTCTGCAACTCCCATTGTCCCCACAAGATGGCAATGTGGGGGAAGGATGTCATTTCTATTTCTGAGGAAGGTTCCCTGATGGCGGGTGGGGTGGTAGCTAGGACTGGGGAGACCTTGGGCTAGTTGCTTTTCTCAGCCCAGCTGACCTCCCAGGGTGCAGCTGAAGGAGGAACATTCATGGGGGGGAGGGGAGGGGAGGAAGATAATAACCACAGGTCCTACATTTGGTACAAACCCCTACCTACACCCCCCCCCAATCTCTGCTCTCAGTGGGGTTAGTTATCCTCCCACGTACAAGGGTGGTCATCAGTGGCAGTGATTATGGTCACCATGTAGGCTGGAGGGCATCTAGTTTCTGCAGTGATTCCTTCCAGTGCGCCTCCTGGGTCAGGATGCTTTGGTGGGTCCACTCCTCCTCAAGTCTGGGCTGCTTCCAGTAGCCGTTGTTCTGTTCTTCAGTGTCCCTACATACCTAACAAAGTTCAGATGCCAGATGAGGCCCTCCCAGTCTTTGTTCTCCATCTTGAAAAGCCCTGTGGCTGCAGTGCCTTCCATTCCACTTTGCAAAAAATTGCAGGCGCATGGAACAACATACTTTCTGCCTGGCACGAGCCTCTCAAAGGGATTTTATGCACCAAATGCCACAAGACCTAGGTACATTCCTGGTTCTCTCTGATCAGGGGCTACTGAGGGGAAATCAGCTCTGCAGCTAGTCCACATTTTAAAGGAGTAGATGTGGCACCCTTCATCTCCCCTCATTCTGCCTTACATCCACAACAATGCAACTGGTGATGCAAAAATGCCCTCTGTCTCCACCAACCATCAGGCTACTCTCAAAGGTGAGGAGGGGACTGGGGGATGTGCTGAGAGGGGGTCACTCTCCTACTCCGAGATGCGTCTTCTTTTAGCCACACTTCTATGCTTTGAATGACTGCAGGCTGAAATTCAATTAATATAGAGTGGAAAACAGCTCCAGAAATAGCTCCAGAGTCAGCTACTGGATTGGGTCCTGGGGTTTTTTGGGGGGTGAGTGAGTGGGTGGGAGGGGTGTCAGTGTGCCAAGGATCCCTTATTAACACAACATGCGATTTATTTTCTGGCAGGACTTCTGCCACAAATTTGGCGATGGAAACACTTTGCCCTTGATGTTTTTCACAGTGGTTCACTGTGATGGAAACCAGAGGCTTGCAAAGCAGATTTGAACTCCAAACAGGCTCGGGGTTTGGGCAGTCGCATTCCAGGAAGCTTTTGCTTTAAAAGAAAGGAGTGGGTTGAAAACCAATTTCCTCAGAAATACTTCGGGGAGGAAGTGGGGAAGGTTGGCACGTCAAGGCAAGTACATGGTCAAAGGCGCTCTCGATTGCAATCTCTTTCACAGGAGTAACTTTTCTTTGGAATCGGATGCCCAACTTCTAAAATCTCCCCTAGCCAGAATGTGCGTCTTCCTTCGAATTGCTACCTGTAGCACCTCTCCTTGGAAGAGGACGGGGAAGGGCCGCGCATCTGGATCTGACCCCTTCTAAGTGGCTGCAGGGTGTCCTTGCTCGCCTCCTCAGCGAGCAGTGGTCTCTGCAGATGACCCGGCCATGCACTGGACACATGCCGGCCGCCGCTTCCTGAGCAGAAGCAGTGTAAATCCCAGCCGTGCTGCAGACAGGCTGGATGGCTCCTGCGCTCCGGGACTCACGCGGCAGGGAGATTCTCAGTCATCCAGTCAGAGCTGAAGAAGCTTCTTGGATGAGAAGTGAAACGTCTTCAAAAGAAACACAAGAAAGTTCAGTTGCCTCCTGAAAAGAGCACCTTTGGGACAACCAGGACCTGGATGACTGAGAATCTCCATAGAAATTTAGCTATGCACTTTGGGATGAACACCCTTAGAATGGTGAGAGAGCATGAATGGATTTTGAGAAAATATTGCAGACTACAGGAACCATTTGTGCTTCAGTTTGAGATTCAGACAGCACAGACCCATCCCCAATAGCCTGTGTGCCTGTTTTCAACATTGAAGGGACACGGGGCAGACAACTTCCTGCAGAGGCTCTACACACATTTGCACTTCTCAGGTTACCCTGAGGACACAGAGGTAAACCTCCAAAATGGTTTCAATGACTCTAAAGGAATGCAAATGATCATCTGTCTTCAAGCAATATAAATCCTTCCACTCCCCGCCATCCAGTCAGAGCTGAAGAAGCTTCTTGGATAAGAAGCGAAACGTCTTCAAAAGAAACACAAGAAAGTCCAGTTGACTCTTGAAAAGAGCATCTTTGAGGCACTCGGCTTGTTGCGAAAAGCTGCTTTGGGCGATTTCCCTGTTTGCGAAAGGATTATTATTTCAAGGGAGCCTTTTTCTTATTTTGGGGATACTGCTCCCCAGGTGATTTTCTTTTTCGGGGGGAGGGGGGCTCCCTACACATGTGTCTGCTTCCACATTAATCCATGCTGGATCCTTTTTTCCTCCTAACCATCCCCTACTGATGGCAATGGCAACAATAGAGGCATTCAGGATCCAATATGTTTCAGGTTTATTTCAGATTTCATACCTAACATTCCCGGAGTGGCCAGAAGCA